CCCAGAAGCCTTACCTGGGGTTCTGGGGGCCTCCCGGAGCAGCAGTGGTCCTGATCTAGCCGCACTGAGCCTGCCCACCAGCCAGATTGTGACTCTGGATGGCCAAGCTCCATTTCTGGCAGCACATGCTGCTGTCACATGTGCCACTTTTTACAACAGTGGAGGTTTTTATGTCGGGACATCCTAGTATCAAGTTTTGGCACCGGGCTGCAAATTTGCAGCACAATGCACAGTTGCAAGTTCACCACGTGCGGTTTGCGGCACCACGAATTGCGCACGTGTGCTCATCTGGAGTAAAATTTTCACACCCTGGTCATCCAATGGCCTCACTGCATGGCAGGCTTCCTGCTTCTGATGTTCCTTAAAAAAATACTATTAGCTTTTATGTCTATTGTGAGATGTTCCTTGAATTCTTTTGTGGCCTGCTTTTAGGGTTTTACATTTAGCTTGCCAGAGTTTGTTCCTTTCTATTTTCCTCATTTGGGCAAGACTCACATTTTCTGAATGATGCCTTTTGCCTCTAATGGCTGCTTTGACTTTGCCTTTAAACCACGCTGAATGTTTTTGGGGCCATTTCCTGTCTTTTTTTGATTTGTGGTATTCATTTATTCTGTGCATCTCTGCTGTGGTGTTTTTAAACAGTTTCTATGTTGTCTGTAGGCATTTACCCTCTTGGCTGTATCTTGTTGTTTCCTTGAAACTAGCTTCCTCATTTTGGTGGTTTCCCTTTTGTAAAATTACATCTTGCTGTGCTGAATTTTTCTCTTGCCTGAAAAGATGGGACAGTGGGAGCAAAAAATCCTAACTAGATTTCAGAGGGAGCTTGACTGTTTTATGACAGTGATGATACAATTTGGTGCCTGCAGCAGCTGTGGACTGTAATTGGCATCTTAGGACAGGAGTGGGCAACATCTTGTAGTGAGGGGCTGCTTTAACACAGCTCAGCTCTGAACACTTCAAACCTGCCCCACAATGGCTCTGCCAGCACTGGAACCACTGTGTGCAACTGTCTCTTCCTGTCACTCTAGCAAAGTGCCCCACAGCCAAAATGAAATCCTTTCCAGTCCTATGATCCAGTCACCAAAAATCTCACTTATACTTGAAAACCGATAGAAAAAAAATTAACACAATTCTATTGATATCTACAGCATATCTGCATGGTGCAAGATATCCCGGAACTCATAGAGTTTATTTTATAAGCAAGAAAAATAAAACTTTGGACCCATATGTAGACAAATTAAATACACTGCTCATTTACATCAAATTAAATACATTTACATCACTTACTCACTGCACTTACTTACTACTTAAATACACTGCTCATTTACATCACTTACACAACAGATAATGAAAGACATGGGCATTTTACCAGAAACCCTGTATAAGCAAAGTGTAGCAGCTCTTCAGAATAATGTACACTTAAGAAAACTAACTCCCATATATATTCAAAGACATCAATACTGAAAAAATTTAATATAATTTAAACATTTAAGAGAAATGCCATGAAATTGCGTTTCCAAGGTCTGTACATCTACCTAAATTTTCTTGGAAAACACCACCTGTGTCTGACAAGAGCCTCATTTTTAAACACTTCACCTGCTGTAATTGGGCAAAGTACTGGAAAAGAATGTGCAGCTCAAAATGGACAAGAACCTGTGTAAGTGGCAGAAATGTTCTGGGGCTCCAAAGTGAACTCGTCATCCCCTACACCCCTCCAAAACTTTGTGCATTTATGGGAGACTTCAATTTTCCAGACTAAATCTGGGAACAAGTGATCATACATGGATTCAAGTTGAACTAAGTGTGCAATAAGCAACATGCAGTATGCAGTAAGCAACATGCATCAAGTTGCAGGAAGCGTGGGACCCAGCAAACAGAATCCCACTATCCAGATTCTCCGCTTGCCTATATTCCACCATTAGTCAGTGGCCTAACAGAAGAGTCTCCAAACACTTCTGTATTCTAGACTTTGTGGAAAGGCCAAGAGTGCTCTTTGCTTAACCATTCTGTAGAGCAAAAGCCTATTTCCTATTGCATTTCTGGCCAGTCTCACATAGATGCAATTCATTCAGAATTCTTCCCATCTTTTTTCCCCCTGTACAATTTATTCCATTTTCTATACTGTTCTCCAAATTTGAATCTATCCAAAATGTTGTAGCTTGTCTGCTCATTCAACCATGTAAACTGGAACACATCATTCTCTTCACATAAAAGTCCTCAGCAGTTACAAGAGGGTTATTATATTTTACAAGACCTTTACAGACTTATCCTAAGTCCTTAACTACATTTCTTTCTGTTCTCTGACCTATTCTCTCTACAGCCACATTAGCCCAGCACTTGTCCTTGACCACATTTTTAATTAATATTTTTGTAATTTTCAACAACAGCAAAATAAATATCACTTTAGGGCAGAAGAATAAAGCTAATTATAAGCAAACAATATTTTGGGTGTAGCAACTCAGATTTTAAGAAGAATATATATCTCCTTTTTACAAAAGTCTAATCTATACACTGATACTTACAAATTTTTGAAAACTGGAGTCATAATGCCCCTTTTTTCTGCTGGACCTGGTCAAATATTACATATACATTTTTGGAGGAGATAGGGAGTAGCCAAATATTAACAAATTCTTATCTACAGTGCATTTCACAAAGAAAAGAACACTTTAAAATAGCCTGCAGCCCAGACAATAACGAAAAAAAACATTGGAGTCCCAACACAAATACCCCATCTTTGGTTATTCGATACGAATATAGAATTTGTGTCAAGTATCACTTAAAAATCTGTTAAGAAGTATTTTCCTTCTCAACATAAACCCAAGTTAGTGGAAGCATATAACAAATTGTGACAGCAGTAGGTCTGTATCCTGAAGTCAAATCCTTATCAAACATCTCCTGCCTTAGGAATCAAAGCCTGCTTCCCCTACAATTATAGCATTATCTTGTATCAATCAGAAAAAAGCCTTTTATATAGTGTATAACTTGTGTTTGTGTAGGGGTGTTTGAAGGGGAGTATGGGTATGTCAAAATGTCTGTATGTATATAGACAATGTCTAATGTATATAGACAGAATTCTATGATAAATATTATTTTTATTTACCAAATGGAGAAATAAAGCTACCAGTTGTTCAGAAGGAATAGGAAGAAGCATTGTGTAGTGGCCACAGCAGATGACTAACTCACCTCAACTGAATCACTGTGTAGCCTTATGCAATTCATTCAAACAGACCCTTCAGTTATAAAACAATAAATTAAAAATAGCTTCAGGGTATTTCAGGAGATCCCCTTCAAAATATTACCATTTCTTCACATTTGTTTAAACGGGTTTTTTAAAATATTTTCTCTTATCTGTCACTCTATGACAGCACCACACTTTGGAAAGTGACAAAATAACTGACTAACCAGAGAAAACAATGACTCAACTCATGTGGAAAGGGGTGAAATCTTGACCCCCACTGAAATCAACAGTGAAACTCCAAGGCTAGGTACAGACAATCAAAAAGCCTGAGGCTGAATTGAGTCAGTCTTTGCAGGTTAGTCTAGGCTACACAGATTAAATTGAAACAGAAGTAAACAGACATTTACCTTTGATTCGGGAAATGCAACCATATGCCTGCAGTGGCTCAGGCCAGAAACCAAGGGACACTAGAGCAGGGCTCTCTAGCTGTGCGTTCACTTCCTCTTCCTACTGCCTCTGAGGTTTCTGGGATTTGCAGTCCAGAGTTACAGCAACGGGACTCTGCAAGGTTGCTTATCACTTCCTCTTCCTGCTTCCAGGTGCCTCTGGGACTTGTAGTCCACAGCTGCAGCCAGCAGTAAGTCTGAGCAGGGAAAGGGGTGTTTAACCCCCCGCTCCTTAGCCTCAGACCTCAGCGAGGTTTGCCGGAGGGCGGGCAGCCCCCCCTGTTGACTGGGCTGCATCCCCAGCCAGGCTTGTGCCCCCCACCCCCTGTTGTCAGCCATCCCTCACTGCTACAGCTAGGGAGCAGAGGGGCAGGGCCAGCCCTGCTCTCTGGAGCAGACAGCATAGCCCAACTCAGGACTGGAAAGCATGCTGGGATGCTGGGGGACTGTGATTTAACTTGAACCAGGAAGGGGTCTGGGACAGAAGTTTTATAAACTGGTTTGACCCAAATCACTTAAGTCTGATACTACATTCAACCAGGTTTATCTTAAATCAGTTTCAGCCATTTTGAAACTGGTTTATGTGCACCGAGCTTCTAATCTGTTACAGGTTTAAACCTGTTTCTGATCACTCAGACCAGTTTATGTGGAACTTCTGTCCCTAGCCCCACAGCCTTCAATAGAACCAGAATATCACTTGAAGTGTTATCATTAGTACAAAGTGTACCAAAAAAGAAAAGAAAAGAAAAATCATTCTTCTCCCATCTTTTTCACTATAATAATTATAAAAGTTTCCTGTAACAATAATAGGTCAATATATCAGAGAAAAGTTTGATTTTTAACATGATGGTGACCCTTGCAGTTATTTCTGTGTCAACTTCTCCATCTTCTCCAGAGATTGTGGAATCTCCATCCCTAGAAATTTTCAGAAGCGGATTAGGCAGACACTTGACTGGGATGGTTTAGTCAGGGATGATTCTGTCTTGAGCAGGGGGCTGGGCTAGAAGACCTCATGAAGTCCCTTTCATCCCTACTTCCTATTATCCTTTGATCTATAAAATAAAGGTGACTCCACCTATTCCAGAGGAGTTTGTGGGACTTAATTAACTGTTTGAGAACCTCATGTGAAAGATGCTATATGAGTTCAGGGAAAGATTAATTATTATCATTACAGTACAAGCTGTCCAGAAAGTGCAATTAGGGCAGTTGGTGTTGCTGATAGCTGCACGATTCACATAAATATAAAAATCTCCACCCATTTTAGAGGAAGAAACTAAAGAAGCATTTTTCATTTCTTTTGGACCAAAAAGCCTAAGATAGATTTGTCCCTCAGATATTTCTCTCTCTATATATATAATACCACTGATTCCAGGAGGTACTTTACATGGGGTAAGTGAGGGTAGGTTTTTATTGTTCTGTCTGTTCAGATGCCCACTGGCATAAGAAAAATCCACATGTCCAAATACATATCTGTTGCAAGCATGGGAATGACTAATTTTTGCAGGTAACAACCAAGTAGAATGCAATACATCAGGCATTTTTTTTCTTCATATCCACAAGGCTTTTCTCTGCCAGGTTAGTTGTATGCTATGGACATCACCTGACTTATTTCCTTGATACATTATTTCTCCCAAGGTTCTGGAGACTTTCAAAATAGTGCTTCTTGTGTCAATCACAGAACATGCGATGAAAACTGGTTTTTCCAGCAGGGTGAGAGTGGGACAGAAGCAAAAAATCTCATTGACTTTAGATGATGTTTATGTGAGTCACTAATCCTCATGCTTCAGGAACTCATTTGGAAAAGGATGGCACAGAATGTTTAAAGCAAAAGGGGTCAGGAACATCAACCCTACTAAGATTTCAAAAACATTGCTTGTATTCCCAAAGGTCCATCCTGTCCTTTCATTTTTTATTTTCTTTCATAACTTCAGTAAATAGTAAATCAAATCTGCTACTGCTGCAACTTTACAGTCCATAACAGAAATTCTAGGAATAACAGCCTCAGTTCATTGATCAGGTAACTAGTTGCAGTGTGTCAACATTTTTAAAAGCCTCACTGTAAGATGGTATCAGGCAGTTTCCGCAGCCCAAAGTCCACAATAAATCCAGACCGTAGAGTTGGTGCTGATGGAATTTGTTTTCCTGTAAGTCACGTTCCAAAACAAAGGCTCTGGTTGATTCCTTAAACTCCTTCTTTGACGCTTCCATCTCTTTCAGCTCTTCCCAGAGATTCTCAAGCACCCAAGAAGAAAATCCAAATATTCACCATTAAAGGGCTGAAAGTACAGTTAAAGCAAGATTTTCCTTTGAGTGTTCTTTAATAATAAAAACAATCAGCAAATTATCATCATACTAGTTTGTCATAATACTTCATATTATATACTTTAAACTTTAACGTTCTTTGTGCACATTGATGAACTGCTCATAACCAGGTAAATGCTATTACTGCAAATAAGGAATTTGAAAGAGAGAGCCCCAAATTCAAGCAGAGTATTACGCCATTGTCGTGACGTGTACAACAAAGGAGTCAGTAGTAAACCAGGTAAGAATGCAGGAGTGAGTTTCTCTAATACACAAATGCTATATACGAAGCTCAATAACCTGCACATTCTCTATATTTTGTGGTATATTTTAACAACCTCTGTATTAATGCAGATAGCAAATTAGACAGATAGACTGGTCTCTTACTTCCTATCCCCCTTCCCCACCCGCTCTGTGTGTGTGCAAGCACAAAGAGTGCTTTGGAAATCTTTTTGATTAAAAGATCTTACTTAATTGGATAGTAATGATTAATGATTACTCTTCACATGCCAGACTTCTCTTCACACTCCCAACTCTTTGTCTCTCCACAACAATTGTTAGACCTTTCTCTCATGACGTTTCCACCATCTGGAACCTTTCTACTCTTAGCCAGCTCCATGATTCTGACAGTTCAAGGAAGTCAGATTTAGTCAAATGTTCCAAAAATCCAGCAGGAATACACGTCACACATGGAAACAAACTAAATACCAAATCCTTTCTACTCTCTGACACTGATTCAGGGACCTTTAAAAGTTGTTTGCTAGACTCTGCAGTTCTTAAGTACTGTTCCCAAACTGCGGCTTCTGCATGCTGCTTCACCTTTTCCCCCTCAGCATCACATGTCTGTACAATGATGATTTTTTGTTTATATATTTGTATTACTGTGTTGCCTAAAAGTGCACTGTAATGCACACTTTAACTGATAGCATGCAGTACAGATCTACTTTGAATTCACTTTGTGTGTGATAAAGGTGGAGCTAAAATAAATGGCTCAAATTGTGACCACTATTATCAGCGTACACAAGGGATTTGTTACATGTTGTTCTCTCTATTTCTATGTGGAATAGGCCCTACATCTGCTGCAAAGCAACATCCCCACAGGGATGATCTTGACAGTGTAATATTTCAGCGTAGCCAAACTACTGTATTTTGTTTACATGCACTGACTTTGGACTCTCCAGTCCAGATACATACAGGCACACGTTTAACTTTGCACTCATGAGCAGACTCATTAACAGCAACATATAATCATGCATTAAATTGTGCACAGTTTAGAACCTGTATAGGACCAGAGCATCACTGCTCTGAGTGTACAGTGACAGTGTAAAAACTGTATCTGTAAAGAGAATATAACATGTATGAAAAACCACAGTTCAATTTTAATACAGCAGACTACACACAACGAGAAGGGAAAAAATGACAGGCTCAAACACGTGCAAGGAGCAACATTGTTTTTACTATTTCTAACTAACCACCCCTTTCATGCACACACTTTTTCTCCTATTTTGGGGGGTTGGTATCTGTCCCTACAGTACTGCTTTGTAGCAACTAATGCAGCTTGTGGACTATGCGAGGACAGCAGAACTCCACAAGGCCTGAGGGAGCATGGTTGTTGGGTTGGGGACTATGCGGGCGCATCCAGATGAGTGTGCATGTGTGGTATGCAGTGCCGCACATGCAGACATTTCCCATGCTGCTAATTTGCAACCCAAAGGGTGATTTTGACATCAAGAGATCCCAGCATCAGAAAAACTCACTAGAAAAAAGTGAACCAGCACACATGGCAGCAGCGCGTGCCACCCAAAACTGGAGCCTGGGTGGCCAGAGCCACACTCCAGCTGCTGGTCAGGCTCCCTGCTGCCAGATTGCTGCCCAGGACCCCAGGTAAGGCTGCTAGGGCCAACCCAGGTGCTGACCCCAGCCTTCCCTATCCCACCCAGGGCAACTTGCCATGTGGCAGAGCGCATGTGCATAGGCATTCCCCAGGACCAAGTGCTGCTGCTATTTGTCCCCCGGGAAACACATGTGTGCATACATCTGGATGCACCCTGTGAGCTGGCTCCCTCCTATATACTTTATTACCAGAGATGTGATCCCTAGATTACATTAAAAATTAAATCTTATGTTTTGAGAGTCACAGAGCAAGTAAGCCACATGCTGTCTGCCCATTTAGGGCTGGACATCTGTCTGCTATGTCAACTGCGAGAGCAAAATCCATTCCAATGCACTTCCGTGGGCAGTTCCATGTGTCTTCTGTGGGATCACATAAGATAGCACCAGGAGCCTCACAGCAGCGTGCAGGGTTTCCAATTTCCAAAGAGCCCAGCGCCCAAAAGAGCCCCTTTCACCAATGGATTCATGGTCACGTCCCTGAAACCAGGCATTAGGCTAATAAAGGTTTAGCATGATATGTAATGTCAACAGCCAGAAATAGCAACCCCCTGCTCGCTCTCTCACTGCAGGATTCAGCAGCTTGAGGAGCTGGCTGCCAACGTTGAAATATAAATAGCCGCATGCACAACATACGGATCAGGCCTGTTTAAAAAAAGCAGGGATGGAAAAGCAGAGAAGCCCTAAAACCTAATGCTAAATCTAGGAACAAAAGCAAATGGGGAAGAGGGGGGTGTCTTTTTCCCTCCTTTCATGAAGCTGAAGTATTTTGCCCCATAATCCCAAACTACTCTGATCTTCATTTAGGACTCTGTACTGGATGCAGGATATTATTTGTCCTATTCATTAATAAATTTACATAGCTGATGAAATTCTCTCTTTACAATGGGTCATTCATGAATAACAAGCTTTTAGTAGGTCTAGATAAGCTTTGAAAAAGGAACTGGCAAGAAGGAAGCAGGAATAAGGAACCAACTTCAGTCTCATCCTCCTTTCCCCCCTTGTGTTTCACCCCGCCTCCTCACTGAATGCTAGAAAGCCTCCCAGAAAAGAATAAGAAGCCACCCATGCTTTCCCCCTGCAACACTTTATATAAAAGGTTAGGCTTATAATTATAGTTCATTTGGAGTAATTCCTAATTAGCCGGGAGCTTCGATGAGAGAAGGCAGAAGTAGCAATTTTCATGCTCAGTAATAGGGCCCTATTATTTGAAGTCCTAGTGACACTGACGGCAGGGGACAGCCTCAGCAGGGCAGGGAAAGGAACCTCCCGGAGCACAAGGCAGAGGGGATCCAGCCAGCCGGGCCATTTCCACACACGCCGGCTTCATTTCTGCCCTGCCCGCAAACACCTCCGAGGGGAGCGGAGGGGAGGGGGATCTGGGGGCTGGGTCCCCGCGGTTCAGCCAGGCGGAGGCCGCTTCCTCGACTCGGAGGAGGGAAGGGACGTAGCTCCGCGCAGGACGGGGACCCCCCCCCGATCCTCCCAGCCCGGGCAATGCTTGGCCGGGTGTGCAAAGACACAGCCCCCCAGTCCCGGCGGGCGGCGCGCCCCGATCACTACTCACGGCGGCGGCGGCGGCGGCGACGGGTCCGGGCGGCTTCACCTGGGCGCGCGGCGGCAGGTTGTGCGCATCAGGCAATCAGGGCTGGGAGGCGCTGGCGAGCCGAGCAGGCCGCCGTGAGTCACGGGGCGGGCCGTATAAGAGCGGGGCGGGGGCCACCTCTCCCTTGTGCATGTCCTTCGCTCCCTCTCCACCGGTGCCTGCTCCCGCTCCGCTGCCCGCCTGGATCCGCTCGCGTTGTCTTTGCCGGAACCCGCCAGCCTGGCTCGCCTCGCCCCCCGCGGCATGGACCGGGGCGACCCCCCCCGCCTACCGGGGACTTGTTGTGCGCCGAGCCGCCGCTGCCCGGGCACGTCGGCGTCGCGGGGGCTCTGCCTGCTGCTGGCCGCGCTGTGCTGCGTGAGCTCCGTGCAAGGTAAGCGGGGTGGGGGGCGCGCCTGCCCGCCCGGCGCTGCCGCGCTTCCCTAGCAACCCTCTCCCCTCGCCGCGTGTCCTGGCGCTCGTCCCTTGTCAGGCTGCGTGGAGGGGACCTGCCAGCTGCATCCAGAGACTGCATTTATTTATTTATTCCCCCCCGCGGACGGGAGGGTGCTGCTACTGCAGCCTCGGGGGAGCCCTGGACCAGCCGAGGTCCCTCAGCCCTTCCTGGCGGCCTCTCTTTCTCTTCCTCCTCTTTCCGCTCTCCCTCTACCTGGGAGAGACCCTGCCTTAGTGAGGCTGGGCCTGGAGGCATGTCAACAAAGAATGGGATCCTACTAGGGCCGTTGCTGTGGCTCTAGCTCGCTCGCTCTCT